CCCCAAAACCCCAAAACCCCTCTAACTAAAATTCCCATTTTTGAGCAAAAAATTATGAAATTAAATTTAAATCAGATTGTTTTGAGTAATGATTAATATTCATCGGATTCTTTGAGGTTTAAATCCATCCTTTGCTGCTTCTGTAAGTAGCCTCGCGTACATCTCTTCTCTTCTAGTCATCGAGAATCCCCACTTGTCCTTTATCTGTCTGCACATGTTCAAGTCCACTTCAGTCACCAGCAATCCATCTCTAGTTCTGGATAAGCCTGGTGTTCTTGAAGCATCTGGGGCAGCTACGTATGATGAGCCGTAAAACATTCCGAATTCGTGTCTTGCTGGCTTTCCATCTCCGCTGGTGAAAGGATTAGGATAGGTCTCAGTACCCACTCTATTGATTCCAACAGCGAAATAATGATTAGCGATAGCAGCACATCTCGCCTCAATAGGCCACATTGGTTCTGAAAGGCCTCCAACAGTTGCAGATGGATTGAATACTATCTCTGCTCCATTAACTCCTAACATATGCCAGCTAAGCGGATGATGTCTACCATAGCAGATATTGATTCCAATCTTGCCATAAATTGTTTCGAACACTGGGTGGCCTAGTTCTCCCTCCATGTAGTAGGTCGACTCATTGAAATCTCCCACCCTAGGGATATGATTCTTGTGGTGTCTACCCATTATTCTACCAGTGTTAGAGAAAACGACAGCACTGTTGAAAATAGTTTCTTTTGCTTCATTCCTTTCGAGAATAGGACTCACGATAACCATGTTGTATTTAGATGAGAGTTCCTTGAAGAGTTGGGCCGAGGGACCAGTTTCCCAGTTCTCAGCGAATTCAAGCCAAGGCATTTTCTCTCTTGTACAGAGGAAGAATGGAGCATTCCAGAGTTCTTAGAAGCAGAGGACATTAACTCCTGCTAAGTGAGCAGCGTGGGTAACTTCTCTAGCCCAGTCATGAATTGCTTAAAGTTATTAAGACACCGGAGCTGTTGTTGGTGCTTTGATAGAATTTTGTACAGCCCCTATTCTGACAATTCTTGGAGGTCTAAGTTGCTCCTAAGTAGCTGGGATCTTGTAGCCAACAATTTCAAAATCATTTTTCATTGCAATTGATTTCGCAGAATCTGGAATAAACAAGTCCGAAGTTTTGTTGCCATATAGAATCCTCTTGACCTCATTCAACTCCTACTCTGGCAAGAAAGCCTTTAGAGTTTCTTCAAGACTGTTCAATTCATTGGTATATTTAGCTGACCAGACATTTTAGCTCCCTGAACTCTCTTGATTTTGATTAGAAGATGATTGAGCATACTTTAGTTGATTCTACAACTAAACTACTTTATCTTAATAGATATCAATTTAAGTATTGAGCTAGCTAAGTTTCTCTTCTAGTGATTTTGATGAAGGCTTTATGCCACTTCTATCAACAGGGGTTTCTTTAATTCTTCTCTAAGCATCTAATGCTGGAATCTTTTCGTATGCATAGCCATAAGGTAAACGTGATATATATTTTCCTGAACCAGGAGTTGATTTTACTACTCCTTCATCATAGACAATCCTCCCACCTGATATAGTGGTTTAGGTTAGACCTTTAACTTTAACTCCTTCAAATATTGTGTGGTCACCTGCATGGTGATGAGTTTTAGCACTGATAGTTTTGGTTGCCTCAGTGTCAAAAATAATAAGATCTGCATCACTGCCTGCTTAAATAATACCTTTTCTGGGATACATATTGAAAATCTTAGCAGTATTAGCAGATGTAACTCTCACAAAATCTGATGGTGTAATTACTCCTTTGCCAACTCCATTTGTCCAGATTACTGACATTCTATCCTCAATTCCATTGCATCCATTAGGAATCTTATCAAAGCAATCATGGCCTAATCTCTTTTACGCTTTACTGAATGCACAATTATCTGTAGCAGTTGTATCAAGATCATGAGTAGCTAAGAGCCTCATCTCATATTCCTTCGTTTTTGGATCATCATCGATGGCGGGAGACATTACAAATTTTGCAGCTGTATCCCAATCTTCATCCCAGTAATGTCTGCCATCAACTCCAAGACCAGCAGCAAGAGCCTCTGCGAACACAACAAATCCTTTTCTTTTAGCTCTAACAATTTCATCAGCAGCTGCTCTTTTCATTACGTGAACAACGTAAAGAGGAACATTAATTGTGTTTGCTATTGTTATTACTCTATGTGTTGCTTCAGCTTCTATTTCATCACTTCTAGAAAGTGGATGACCCTCTGGTCCAGTAACACCTTATTTTATAAGTCTCTCTTAATTGTATTCAATAAGTTCACCGTTCTCAGCATGCACCATAATTACAGCTCCAAGTTCTTTGCATCTTTGGAAAATTTGTAGCATTCTTTCATCATTTTAGAAGAAGTAAGTACCTTTATATGCTGTGTATAGTTTGAAGCTGGTCACTCCTAATTTAACTATCTCTTCCATTTCTTTTGAGATATCTTCGTTCCAATCATTTATAGCACAATGCAGAGAATAATCACAATGGACCTTCTTATCTGCTCTTGTTCTCCAATCATTGTAAGCATATTTTAAAGGATTTGAGCCAGGTATTATAAAGTCTATAAAGGTGGTAGTACCTCCGGCCACAGCTGCTCTGGTACCAATATCGAAGTCATCAACTGTAGTAGTATCCATGAATGAAAATTCTAAGTGGCAGTGAGGGTCTATTCCTCCAGGCATCACAAGTTTACCAGAAGCATCAATTATTTTATTGAAATTTCTTTAGGTGTGGATTTTCTACTCTGGGAGGAATACTTATTATATCTTGCCATTTTCTATTAAAACATCTCCTTGAAACTTATGATCTGCATTTACAATAGTTCCTCCTTTAATAAGCATTGAATTAAATGCTTTTGGAGTATTTTTGTTAAATAGTTAGTTAAATTAGCCTTTGATTTGCTCTTAAAATATATTCTTTTGTGCCTTGAAAAGTTTTTGCATTTTTAAATCTTTTTATATTTGTACTAAAGATATTCAAATCTATTTGAGTTATATTATATTTTTCTATTTTAAAATATATATAGAGGCTGCGGGGTTTTGGGGTTTTGGGG